ATTTCGTACCAATCTGTGAACCAGAATCATCCAGAACAGATCTCTTGTCACTGGTCTTGCAAGACTTCACTAGGTCATAATTTCCATCTACTTGTATAGCATGCTGACTTCATGTTTTAAAAGTACATTTGAAAATATCACTGAGGGCATGCAGTATGAACGGTTTTCTGTGAGGGCTTTCAAACATTGGATTGGTGTAAATTCAATACTGAGTATAGCAATCTGCTGTACCAGACTAACCTAGTGAACCATGTCCAGTGAAGATCTTTTATTTTGGGGTCTTAGAGAACAAGTTGGGGAAGAAGGCTGAATAGAGTTGATGGGTCAGTTTTAGGGATGGGAGGAAGTGGAGACAAAGCCAGGCTGAGTACAAAAGTTACTTGCAATGCTTGGGAATCCACTACAAAATCTAGTGCAGACCAGGAACTCCTATTCTTTAGATGCTGGCTCGATATTTTTTCTTTTTTCTTTTGCTTTGGGATGTTTTGTTTGCTTCTTTTTGGAATTTAGGAAGATTAATTCTAATTATCTCATTTAAAATAACCCATGGGCTAGTTCTTGGCTTTTAAAAAATGACTTGAATTATCTGGATTCTTCACATAGTCTTAAGTCTGTGTAAGTAGCCACTGTTGCTAGCCACTGTGGGTTTTAGTCTTTGGATATTGTCCATCAAACCACAAGCTCTGTACTAGGCAGTCACCATGCACACTTAGACCAGTGTCCCTGTGCTTAAGGGTTACATAGCCTTCTTCAGGGGTAATTCCAAGTGTGGAGTAGATAGAAAACACCATTGAAACATGCACAGTGTGCTATGACAGAGTAAGAGAAAACCACCACCCAAGAAAGGCAGAATGTCCCCATGAGACTATTTCTACAGATGGTGAGATGTTTTACTCACAGGAAAGATAAGAATGTTTATTGAGATGCTAAGTGGAGAAGGGAACTCTAGCAAAACGAACAGTCTACACAGTGATGAGCATCTGGTTCTTAAGATGCAGGGATGACTACATGTATCCACACTGATCTAGCACCAAGCATTAGTCAATACTTAATAAAATAGCAGAAGCAACTTCCTCATCAATTCTATCCCAGCCCTAATAAACTGAAGGAATAAATCTCCCCATGGTTCCTGAATGTATCTTCCCTCTTTGTAATGCTTGTTGGTTTCCCTCTTGGCAGAGAACAGGCATTGTATCCTGAGACTTCAGCAGATAATGGTATCTTGTTAGAACTAGATAATGTTTCATTTTGATTATATTTATTTTTACAATTTTTAAATTATGGCAGTTTTCTATTCATGGTACCATACACATTTATTTGAAATGACTTTATTTTAGTTAAAATGCAGTCAATCAAAACAATATGCAAATAATAATACAAGAGGTACATGGCAATAATATGAAGTCGGTATGCCAATGACAGGGATTTGATAACATTAATGTGGTGTACTTCAGGAACAGAAACGCACAATATTGGAATGAACAATGATGGTGGGAGACAAGCTAGAGCCATCTCATAGAGTCAGACTGTGAAGGGTCTCTTAGATCAGGCGGAGGAGTTTAGTCCATGGGGAGCCATGGTTTAACAAGAAGTCTAGCCTGCTAAGAAGTGAGAGTTAAGATTCATCACCAGAATGTGAAGGATGGCCCACAAGAGCAGATGAAGCAGGTCAGTCAGGATGCTGGTGGCCCTGTGGCAGAGAATAAGAGCAAGAAATGAAGGATGAAGAAAGGTTATGGAGGAGGTGATGGAACGATTTGACAGTCATCTGTCACCCAGTTGGTGTGGAGGGAGACATGTCAAATAGTGTCCTAGTGTTTCTTAGTCTGTGAGTGTCAGGTGCCTCTACATGATGTGGGGCTGTTTTCCAACAGTAGTTGCTTCTTTGATAATTGATGTGGTTTTAACCTGAGCGAAACCCTGCATCTCCATTTTAACATCTCTATAGGAAGAAAGTGATTGCCTTAATCCTAAGTCCTGTCTGGACACTCAGCTCCTTGAAGATCGAGTTCCTGAATGAGTGATGGAGCTAGTATCTTTTCATGTTGTGAGAAATCTGTGGCCAAGTATCAGAAAAGCAGCACCACCAGCAGCCCTAAAACCTTCCCAAGGGTCTACCAAAGAAGGCATCTTAGTTCAAGAACATTATCTTTAATTCTCTTTAAATTCAATCTCTTTTAGGTTTTTGACCAAGGTATGAAGGTTGTATAGTTTTATGACTTTAGAGCTTTTAATGGGCACACATAATATTTGTACGTCGTTATGAGGGCAGATGGGGATTTTGATAGGTGGGGATAATTTGTGATGATTCCTCAACATAATTAGCATGTTTGTGTTTTGCAGTTGGTGAAGGGAGATGCTGGGGAGAGAGGGGAGGCTGGAAGCTGTCTAGGGATTCCTAGTGTGAATGCAACCACAGCTCATCACCAGAAGGGCATGGTTAATGGAGACACAAGCTGTCACATGCAGCACTTGACTCCCGGTTCTCCATGATGAAGATTGCTTTACTATGGGTTTGGATACCTTACTAGCAACAAATATATATCCCAAATGAAGCCTCTTCCTAGTAAAGAAAAAAGCTCACTTTTGGCTCCACTCTAAGGGGCCAGAGGAGTCTGATAACTACAGTAGTGGGAATTTCCAGGAACCTGGCAAATATCTAGTAAACTTAGAAGATCCTCACTGTAGAAGCAAAGTCAGTGATGACCAATGCCTACTTAATTCATGATGCTAATGTTCAGAGGCACAAAGTGTCTACCTAAAAGACTATATTTTTAAAACGAGAAAATATTCCTTTGCATTGTTTTGTGATAAACTAGAGTTAACAATTGTTCTCAATAAAAAATCCTTAATTTAAAGGTTAGAGTATCCAGGAACAATATGTCAGACTCCATTGCTATTAGCAATGCTTATTTGCAAGCATGATGATTAATATCATAAGCCTAAGTCACACTCTTGCAGGATCAAGTTTTAAAAGACTAAAAGACTGAATCAAAGAGCTTAAGCCTATAAACTATCAATTGCATCATATAGATGAGAAAAGATTCTCATTTTATGCACAGAAAGAGTAAGTCAAAACTTGAAGAATTATTGGATAATGAGGTGAGTAAGAGCATCCATAAAGATATGTGATTTTGGTATTAATATGAGACTTCCTTAGTTTTATCACCCTGAAGGCCTTGGCTGGTATTGTACTTTTCCAAACTGACTTATATGTGGACATTATGCATAAAATTAAGGCTAATGGGTGTCTAGAGATCAGCTGTTCTGTAGGGTTAGAGAAGTTTTTGATTGTCCTATTAGAAACTTAGAATGCAGTTTGAAGGTGGCATTATGAAAACTATACAATGAAGCCGGGCGTTAGTGGCACATGCCTTTAATCCCAGCACTTGGGAGGCAGAGGCGGGTGGATCTCTGTGAGTTCGAGACCAGCCTGGTCTACAAGAGCTAGTTCCAGGACAGCCTCCAAAGCCACAGAGAAAACCCTGTCTCGAAAAACAAGGAAAAAAAAAAAACCTAAAAAACGAAAACTATACAATGAATAATGTTTTGTTAATTTTCTGTGAACTTATATTCAAAGGTTATCACAAGCCATTCAAAATTAATGTATAGACACGGAATGGCATGGATACATAAGAAGCATAAAATGTCCAAAGATCTTAGCTTCTAAAACTGATACTTTAAAAGTTATTTGGTGATAATGTTTCTCAACATATATTTGTTACTGACAAAGCATTTTCTTTCTGACATGGGATTGGTGCAATGGTTTTTCTGGCACACTTTACTTGAAACCTAGAAACTTAGATCTTTAAGATCTTAGCTGTAGGAGGGACAAAGGAACCCATCAGGACATTCACTATGTACTAGACATTTTCTACTTTCCTTACATGTGCTCGAGTTTAAACCTCACAGAATCATGGCCTTAGAGGAAAGTGGGAGGAGGAAGCTGCCCAAGTCCACAAAGCTTCAGAGTTAGGGTCATTTTTCTGACCACAGTGTCCTCCTTTTGACTATAATCTGCCACCTACATATCAACATGGTGAATTCACTTCCATGGCTATACTTGCATTTCTTTAGAAAGTTGAGGTTAGGGAAGATTCATAGAGTTGCTACATTAAGCAAACTGGGTTCCTGAATATCTGAATATCAAAGGTAGGAAGGCTCATTCCTCCAACATAAAAGCTGATTTATATATAACTTGTACTATGTTGAGAGATCTGGAAGTGAAAATGCTCATTTTGCTTAGGCTAGTGCCAGGGAAGGAACTGAGAGAAATTAGGTATCTACAGCATCTCTACAACTCAGTAGAAAGATTGTTCTGGGAATGAGTTTTAACTTTCCTGGGCTTAAATTTTCACCATTTTTCTCTAGCGTGAAACAAACAAAAAAAAAGATACAGGGTATTTTAAGTCATAAACAGTATAAAATATTAATATTTAATAATTTGATTCTTTATGAGTAAATTTATATATAAGGCATTAAATATAATCAATTCTTCAACATGAAACATAGTTTTGTGAGAAGAGATATTTTTTCCTCCATAAATTTCTGTTTGAGTAAGTCCATTTGAAAGAGGACATTTAGAAGAAGATCCTTGGGTTGAATCATCACTCCATTCTGTCTCTCATTTTTATTATAAAAAGACATTGATCATGATATTTTTACAGTAACAAAAACCTTTTCCTGTGGTAAGTGATGCTTTTTAAGTTCTACCAGCTAAAACCCAATAGCTAACCAAGAGAGAGGTGTAAGAGTTACAGAATGAGGATGTCAGTAAGACCTACAGATATGTATGGAGCATGCATTGCCCTATCTAACACTACCTTCTAGGGTAAAATATGCAGCTTCCTAAACCAACAGAAAGGTTTTCCCTTCATAAATATGAAGCTCTCAGCTGCTACCAAATTAATCTTTTGGGGTAACAGTTTCCATAAACTATTTTTTAATTTATCAATTTTGAGAGGAGAATAGAGAGAGAGAGAGAGAGAGAGAGAGAGAGAGAGAGAGACTGAGACCCTCACTCCTTCTCGTACCTTAAGTGTTTAGATTTCAGCCCAGCTTGACTTATTCCCAAATCCTTGACATTAAGTCCTTTGATGACTTGTCATTGGAGCAGAGAAGAGAAATTTCTTCAGACTGCCTGGCAAAACACATGTCTCTCTAGTTTGCAGAACAAGGCTAGATTTGTCACTCAATAATTAAACACAACTGGAGAATAATAGTAATTATCTGGACTCTAATTTGAGTAAAATAAAATTTTCATTTTTCTACACTACCTGCCTTCTCATACTCTTCTGCCTGAAATGATATGGCCACTTCGTTTAACATCCATCTTAAGTTACTGATATTATCACTTACAGTTTTTAGTTTGAGCATGGGGTTGGAAAATTTATAACATAAACTAAGGAAAGGGTCCCAGACTCTAACTTTTAAATATTCTTATGTCTTCTGATATGTTTGGCTTGCAGCTGAATGACTAGTGAACAAGTGTATTCACTTTGTGGATTCAGAACATTAAGTTTCCTGGACATCTAGACTGCTTTGGAAAGATGTTAGCAGTGCTGTTATGAGTTAACAGGAATTGGGTCTACACATGGAGGTAAACTTTGATGGGAAATCTCAGGTTATGCTCTAACTCCAAAGCAGGCCGACTTATTACACATCATTTAAATGCCCTATATCTATCTGAGATAATGAGTAGAATGGTTGAAATATATAAAAATTACACACAAAATATCTATTTTTTAAAATATGGCTTCATAAGGTTATCTTAATAAAAAAGCATTATATCCATTCTATGATGAGTCTTAGAATGTGAGGAATATTTCATGCATAGGCCCCTCCCTGAGCAGTACTTTGGGCATCAGTTTGTTTTATTGATAGAATGAGGAGAATAATAAAGTCATTGCTCCTTACCCTTCTTATAAAATGGTGTACATGATGGGAAGCAAATATAAAGACATAACAGGGAAGTTTAGCATAGATGTTTTTGAGGCTACTGTGGCCATTGAACCATGATAGTTTTTGCTCTCTCTTATGTTTGCATAGGATTGGCACATAAGTCATTGCCATTAATCAAAATAAATTTCTTGATGTCATTGCAAAACATATTGACAAGCAGTATCCAGAAAGTTATGCAATGTTTCCTTCCCTCTGATGTCTTTGTGAATGGAGGTTTGATGGCTATGGAATGGACCATTCTATTGCTTGATTGGGTGTCTCCTACAGCAAGCAATGAAGTGTTAGAGTTAGGAGGGAGGTGACTCAAGGACGGGCAATGCAGCACAATCAACAGAGACAAGATGATCACTGGGTCCATGAAGCACATCCTGGATAGCACAGCTGTCATGGCTAGATGAAAAGTCCTGCTCTAGCAGACTGCATGTTAGTCTGCTGAGCAACACGCTAATGTCTCCACAGAGTAGCATTTTTATTGCATTATGACTTTCATGGGAAATGAACAAAACTTTAAATAAATCACAATTACTTATTGCTTAGTATTTGAGATAATAAATTCTTTAGTTTATCAGTACCTCATGGCCTTCAAATGTGCATTCTTCAAATAGTTTCAATTACATATATATTCTTTCTCCTGAACAATAAATTATTTTTTAAGAAGATGAAAAAAAGAAAAGTTACATAATTTCAAAGCAAAGAAAAAACATATATTTTAAACATTTATCTTAAACTTATATGAAAACAATTCTCTATGTTAGATGCTTAAATATAAATAATAAAGGACATTATGTTATTTACAATGTTATACACCATGAGAGTAAAACCTAACATTAACTCATAAAGACAGTAAATGACTTAAGGAAACATCCAAGTACTATACAATATGTATTTACAAAAGAATATATAATAGAAATTGTGATTTGTGGCCATTTCATTTTGTCTGCATTTCTTCATAGTATGTCATGGAACTTAGTGGATAGAAATCCCTGCAGCTGCTGGAAGGCAGCCAGGACTAAAAGGGAAGGTTAGATTTTTCCTTATTCACTGATAGGAGCCATATACCTTCAACCTCAGGCCAAAAGAGGAATAGACACAGAGAAAGTTACCCTGGATAGACTCCACCTACATTGACAATCACACAGAAACAAGAAAGAGATGGCATATTGCTCTTTGAGATACATTCTCTCTTACACAGAGGACCATTTTGTAGAAAGCAGAAGGCTGTCCACCAGGCACTCTTGAGGGTAGGAAGAGAAAAGGCGCAAAAAGCAGGACAGAAAACCAATCTTGAGTAAGTACAAAAGGAGTTTGGTGTCTACTATACCCCCCTATATAACTCTCAGTAGTTTTGATTTCAGACCCAAGAAACAAAGTTGTTGTTAAATTCTGAGTAGTTTGAACTTCCTTAAAATGCAAGGCATCTTCACACATGCCAGGAACATAGGTGTGCATTTCTTTGCATTGTTACAGCTCTGCCTGGATACATAAAGAGGATAGTTGAGAGAGACCTGGCAGTGAAGCATTGTAGAGACTCCCTAGAAACATAAATGTAGGGGCTACAGCAGGTAGCCCCAAGTAGCCAAGTGGCTGTTCTCACCAAGGAAGTTTGTTGTCTTGGAGAAAAGGCTTTCTCAGCTAATAAGACAAGTGTGGATTGCCAGATAAAGCACAGAAGAAAAAAGATCACATATATTTACAATTTGCAAATTTATAGGGCTTCTCATTATAGTAAAATGCTGCTCATTGTTTTTTAATCAGGAGATTCCACTTTTTTCCTTAGAAGGGATTTTCTCAATACCCCAGTGACAAACTAATTGGGAACTGAATTTTTTAAGAGTTTTAACATAACAATAAAGAGATTTCTTTATTGAACAATAGGTGAGTCAAGGCCTTCAAAGTCAATGTTAAGGAGAGAGAATATCTTCAGGCTTGCTGACTCTTCCTCCCTGTGGAGAGTTGACCATCTGCAGCCCACTGGGAAGCCAGGGCAGGCTTTCACCAGCAGGCATTCCTCTGGATGGGCTAAGAAGCAAAGGAGGACAACACGCTGAACACAGACAAACTGTCCCATGAACAATGGCAAGAAATGTGAAACAGACATCAAATAGTAAGAGTAACAGACAAGCTTCTCTTAGAAACATGGAGGAGTGTAACACAAGGACTTGTGGTCAGCCTACACTGTTCTTCTAAGACCTACTCGTGTGTTATTACTTCCCTTGACTTGTAACAAAGATTTGGTAAAGAAAATAGATTCTGTTCAACTGAAAATAAGAATCAATAATGGTCATTGACTTTGTCAATTCCCTGTTCAACCATTTCCTGTTTTCCCATATATGACTCCTAGGAGTCTACTTAAAAATTCAATAAGCTTCAGTCCTGATTGACAGATAACAGGAAGGGAATATAAAAGATTCTGAGGGATTATCCCCCCCCCCACACACACATAGAACTTTTCTCTTTTTTTTTTCCTATAAGCATTCATTGGCGTTACATTCATAAGACAACATACAGAGTTTAAACCAATCCTAGCCCTGCTTTTGAGACAGTATGGGAAAAACATACTAAGAGAGGAGAAATAGAAATGGAAGATACAGGCTGTCTATGGAGCGAGATCAGTCCACAGGTGAGGGTCACTTCTGCAAGAAAAGGTGCAATCTTTCCAATACTATTGACATTCCCTAGTGAGGCATCACTGTGGAAGTTCTTGCTAATCACAAATCACATGCACATTGGCCATTCCTGGCAAAAAATATTCATGCATAGTTATGACTTAATCAAGGCAATGCTGAACATAAGAGAAACATAATGGGGAGAAAGGAGTGGCCAACCAAACTTGAAGATGTAAACTGGGTCACACAGCTGCTTTCCCCTTGTGACTTCTACACATTCACTCCTTCTAAACACTCTACAAGTGGAACATTTTCCTACAATGACCAAGTCACTGCTATGTACCACAGGTACATGGTACTTTACAAGTGGTTTGGACAGATGGCTGAATGTACTCTTAGGGCTGAGGCCTCATGATACAATGTGCCTCTTCTGGAGCTGAGAAGAGGGTTTCACCAGTCAGTTAAAAAAAAAATACGTCAGAAAGGATTGCACCTTTAGCAGCTGTGGTTGGCTGGTCAACAGATAAGCTGCTGGAACATGCCCTCCCCCAAGAAAGAAAAGTGAAATTGAGTCCTTTCTAAGTTGTTAGCTGTATCCAGACAGCAAGCCAGAACCTACTTTCTAAGCTGTACTTGAAGCTGTTACTCTTTGTCAAGAAAAACAACAACTAAAAAGTTAAAATTAAAGTCAATGGTAGCTCCTTTTAGCAAGAGCAAGTTGTCTTCGGATTAATAATATAGTTTGTTTTTAAAAATCACAGTATTACTTTCTTCCTAATATTTAACATTACTTAATGCAGTTTCCTGCTATATGTAATAGTAGCATGCTGTTGGGTCTACTATTATCTCAGAGCCCAGTGAAGCAAACCTTTGGCTGACAGAGTAGAGAGAACTCATTTCCTATTCGGAAAGTAAAGACTTCATACAAAATAGAAGAGTATTTGGACAGATGTGCCATTTCAAGACAGTACTGGTTGGGTGCTACTGGAAGCAAACAGAGGGACAGCTGCTAGCCTTGCAAATCATACATCCAGTCAACATCATAATGCAACGCACGAGAAGCCAGCAAAAACTGAATATATGGGAGGTTTTGCTGAAATACTGTGAAAAAGCAATCACTGTAACTGTATAAAACTTGCTCTCAACATAACATAACATAAAGGCACCATTGATATCTTTCTTGTTTTTTTGAAATACTGTAAAAAATTGCTACATATGGCACATAACACATTTTTACATACATATATTTAATTTATAAAAGTTTTTTTCCTGTTTTCTATTTGCAGAACTGCTAAAATAAAATAAATTGTTTAATTTAAGGTGAAATACTTTATTATATAAAATAAAGTTTTACAGGTGAATCTATGTGTTTATTTAGGTTTTATACAGCAATAGGATCTTGGTTAGCGATTACACTAGACAGCCTGGCCTGTAATTCTTCCTGTGTGGAGAAGCGGCCTACTGGGTTAGTCCTGCTATCAGCCAAACGGAAGGCAGGGGCCGCCTCAAGGCTGGCTGCCAGGGGGTTCTGTATGCCCAGGAATGGTGTATCTTCACCTACTCTTTCATCTTCTGTTTCACTTTCTGAGTTACTGCTCATAGAACTTGTGTTGCTGTCCATTTCCAACCTATTGGCAATGTGGCCATTGGGCTTGGTTCTTTTGGCCCGTCGGCTGTTGGTGAGTTTCTTAACAGGCTCTTGAACTGGCTCATACTCCTGGGTCGTTTCATACTCCTCATCCTCCACTATCCTCAATGGGCTAGGGGGGAGGCTGGTACTCTGATGTGCAGGATTGTGATGAAAGGAGTTGAGTTGCTGGGGGTGATGATCATACTTCTTCTCCCGGAGCCTTGGTGGTGTCACAAGTAGCAGAGGCCTTTCTTCTTCCACAAAGGGGCTGACTGCCATGGAGGGCATGGACACCGTCATGCTGGACACAGGTGGAGACATTTCCGAAGGGGGCGATTTAGGGGAGCTTGGCGTGTGGAAATCTACAGGTGACATACGAGCCGGGGTGGTCATGGCTGATACATACCTGTGTGAGCACAGAATACCCCACATGAGTGTAGTGGAATAAGAGGCATGGAGCAGGGAGGGGCAGGGACAGAGTTCATCATGGGATATAGTCAGAGAAGAATCATCATCAAATACTTAAGTTTTACACTAGAAGTTCAGCACCCTTGGATCCTATCATTATAAAGCCAAGAGTTTCCTTATAGGAATCATGCAAAGAGCAACTAAATCATCTAGGTCATTCAAGCTCTTGAGAGTTTAGTCTCATCATGAATTCAAATGTAAGTATTCGAGCCAAGAAAAGGGGGATCCTAAGAACCTATCAGCTTACAAAGACCGAGGCTTGGGGACTTAGAAGGGAAAGAAGTATTCTTAAATACTATACCTTCCTAAAGGCCAAGGGGTCTTAGAGAATGAAGCCCAAATGGGGAATGGAAGAGGATCTAAGATGAGTTGCTGACAGCTGGATCTGCATGCATTTGGATCTGTAAGCCTTGTTTCTCCTTAGCTCAGCTATAAGGTTATGTCTTATGAAAAAAAAAGAGCATAGTAACTTAAAGATTTATTCCTGATAACAGTGTAGTACATTTGTGTGCCATTCAGTTGAAATTTTCATGAAATGCTAATGGTTAACATTCAAATTTGCAACTGTCCATTTCAGGGTGCAATACATTCAAAGGCAAGTCTGAAAGGAAGCATAATTTGGTTTCATGTTACCAGAGTGGACACCTACTCCAATCTCCCATCTACCTCTCTTCCAAATCCCACCATTGCATCAGCCTTTGGTTTCCTTCTGGGAACACGTGCCAAGGATCCTTCAGAGTGCTTAACAAGCCTTTGTGTATACACATAAGGGTTGGGTGTACCATGGTATCTTTGTGAATGTTATGTTTGTAAATGCCATTATTACATTCCAGACACTGTGTTCCTGCTCTGCAGCACTGTGACTTCCCTAGAACAAGAAGGCCTGTCCTCTGGGCTGAGTCTGAGTCATTTTCCTCAGCTTTTGATAAAAAACGCTAGCCATGCACAACATCACAGTCTAATTTGATGTGACCTGTGATGACACAGGATACTGGAGCTCTCTGAACTCGAGCTAATGGAACAGGAAGACTGAATGCTCCTGCTTTTCCATGATTCATGGTGATACAGAAGTGAGACCCAGCTATGTTTAAAACTGGGAGAAGTGTCTTAGAATTTGAAACGTTTCAGACCCAAGTCTGCAGACTTTTTTTTGAGGGTACTTAAATTAGACCCTCTGAGAAATGCTAGTCACAGTTCAGCTAACACATACAAGTGATTCATCTTTTTTACTCTCATGATCCTTCAGTTCAAGACTGTTCTGTAATTCTTAGTAATATCTGGGTGATGTCTGGATGCCTAATTTAGCAGACAGAATCTCCAAAGACAAGCCGTGGTAATGAAGAGACACTGGACTCTATCCCCATGTATATTTCAGGAAAGCTAAACAGGAATGGACAGACTTCAGTATGCAAATATATAATTACACAAGACTAACACTCTTAAGCCAGTTTTAGGCCACACTCTTCTACAGATGTTCTATAAAGAGAATACTAACTCCATAAATTCTATCCTTTCTGAAATTGTTTTAGGGACATGATAATCAATAGGCTCCTTGACCTTAAAGCCCCTATTGGGTTCTTCACTGTGCTTTCATGTCCATAAGTGAAGAGTTCTTTGAAATCATCTCCACCCATGTAACTGCAAAATACATATGGATTTGGCATTAAATTGACCTTTTTAGTCAATGGAAAAAGACTAGACTGAGATAACAATAAGCAAATTGGATTTGAAAATCAACAGGTAACTGTGTGCAGATGGGCTTAAAAAGTCAACTAGCAATGACTTTTCTCTAGCATAGGTGAAAATGGATAAGGAGAATGTCCAAGTTCAATATCCCTATTTAGTACCTCTTCCAGTTTACTTTTTTTTCCATTCTTCAGTTTGCCTTTGTTGTTACTTCTCTGACCCAGCCTGGATCTCCCCCCGAAGGAAATGCAAACATTCTAGAATAAATGGTAATCTCAGAGGCAATATCTGCTTTGAAAATCACCTATAAAAGCTGCCAGGATCATCACACAAGACCTTTATCCATCACTTCTTGGGATTTCAGAAATGAGATACAATATGGTGGAACACATGTTGGTGTTCCCTCATGACCATCAGCAATGACATAGCCCTTGACTTGAATTAACTGAGGCTAGAGGCAGGGCAATTAGTGCATGAGAACATAAGCTCAGATCAGCCATGGAGGTAGAACATGGACAGTTGGACAACTGGAATTAGATGAGGGTCCTTAAAAAGCAAGACCCTGAGTGAGTCTGAACCTACGGTCAGGTCTGAGAACTCCATGTTGGCTGTACCTTCCACATCCCATTACTCCTGCTCTTTAAGAGTTTGTTGCCTTTCAGCCATTGGGACGATGGGAGAAGTTCAGGAGAAAGGAGTTCAGCCAAATAAGAGGATGACTTCATCAACTAGGAGCATCGGGGAACTGGTGACACCCCTTATAGAAGGGTGAATTTCTTTAGGTGAGACTGCAGGTGCTCATAGGATTCTCTCACTGAGTGAGGTTCTCCTCCACGATCGCTTTGCCCTTCGGTTTTACCTTTCACTATGAGGAGAGTCTCGGTACGAGTCAGGGGTTTCTCTGGCATGCCTGAGGAAGCTGTTACATTCGCGAGGGCCTCCCAGGCCATGAAGTCGTCCTCGTGGGCCCCCAGCTGGGCTGCTGTGCCTACTGTTTTCTACTGACGACATCATGATTACAGAGTGGCTTTCTGAAACGATGCTTTCTGTGTGCCCATTACTCCAGCTGGGTAGAGGGGAAATGTAAGTGACAGTGAGATAGATAAACTGGCTTAATTATATGCAAAAAAAGCAAAGAACAAAAGCAATTCTGGCAAATATTTCAAGTCATCGATAAATCAGGAGCCCAGATTTGATACAAAGATCTCTTTGGTATAAGGAGAACCTTGATTCAGATTGGATTTGTGAACACATCGTTTATCCACTTGTTTATTCACTCCATAAATACTTAGCAAATGCCACCATGCATGAAGTATTATTGCAGTTTCACGGTGCTTGCATGGCTTGGGCTAAACAAAGGCGTTGCTCTGTGCATAATGTCTGGAAGCCTGGTACTGTACTTGGTAGAGTGAGTGCAGTCAGCATGGGGCCACCAGAGCATCAGAGAACTGAGTGTTCAGCTCTGTAGTCATTTCCATGGGTACTTCCAGGGTAGTGTAAGCTTTGGAACCAAACTTCTAGAACCACACAGAATCTAGACAGATTTTCCCCCATAGTGGGCAGCAATTCAGTGAGTAGCAGAGCACAGACCACGGCAATTTCTAGACTGAGGAACAGCAAGCCTATAAGGTTATAATTACTCACAACTTTTATTATTTTAATAGAAACACTAGGCTTAGCCTTGCACAGTAAAAGCAGTTTATACCAAATATCTACTAATGTTCAAAGTCAGTGCCTTTTGTTAGGAATTGATAATAAATGGTAATGAGCAAAAGAAATCATTCTTGAGGAAAAATTTTTCCATCTGGGATTTTTTTCTCCCTCATACCTGTGACTGGGAGTCTGGGTAACAGTGGTGGAGTGATGAGCTGTGGAAGTGTAGTGACTGGTGGAAAAGGAGGTTTCCACTTCTCTCTCAACAATATGCTCACTGGAGATGACATTTTTAGATACGTATTGCTAGAAAAACAAAGAGACACAACTTGAAAGTTCATGTCAGTCAAAACACAAATACACTAATCCAGGCACAAATTGGTTCTCATATCTATTTCTTCGCAATAGCCTCTCTGTTTCAGTTGGCTAGTTGGCAAATCTTTTTTCTGGCTACTCTGGCCTTGAAGTTAGATACATGGAGTAAATAAATTGCTTTCTGAATGTTTGTGCAAGATAGGTCCTAAAATCTCAAACTTCATTTCTCTCATTTCTAACTGATAACAGAAGCCTCAGAAGAAAAACTGTTTCCATAAACAGAAAGAGCCAGCCTGTGAAATCCCTTCCATGACTACACATTCCAAGGGAAGAATGGGGAACTATACATTCCAAGGGAAAAATGGGGGACTACACATTCCAAAGGAAGAATGGAGGACTATATATTCTAAGGGAAGAATGGGGGACTACATATTCCAAGGGAAGAATGGGGTGCTCTACATTCCAAGGGAAGAATGGGGGTTGTGCTGGAACATGACTAACAATACTTCAGAATTCAGGAGGTCTGACAAGAGCTCTGGTCCTGAACTCTCAATATGAGAGATCTCAATGATGATATGCAAATGGTCTCATGGAGCAGCCTATAATCTAGTCAAATTTAGAGCTAAATGCATGACACAATAAAAACAAAATACCTGAATGATTAAGGGTGCATTTCACCCAGAGGGCATGGTGTCACATACATGGAGCCAGGGAATGAGCAAATATTACACTCCCTAGCTTTGTTCCTTACAGCATAGTTAAGAAATTTCCCACCTCTTCATGCCCCAGTTTCTTCCTTTGGAAATCAGAATCAGAAAATCACATATACCCTGAAGGGCCCCTAATAAAAATACTTCAAAGTCCTTTGCTTGGTTTGCTATGAATCAGTGGCATACTGGAGTATTGTTCATTTCTAAATGACTTAAAATAAATATTCCTTATGATTCTGGCTTTATTATTATTTATTCTGTTTATCTTTCTTGCTTTGGCCTCCTTGCAGAACACACCAAGCATCATCCCAAAGTCTTAGTGACATGGTGTAAGGGAAAATGTGCTAATATAATAACCAAATCTATTTTCAAATAGCTTTCATTATTTTTCTCCTGACAAAACTGGGTTTCTGGAAGCCATTGTGATAAGTGGTGGTAGCTAACAGCCTAAGGTTAGGAAAGTCAATTTCAGTGTGTCTGAATGGCACAAAATGCTTGGTGTTCCCAGTGGTCAGTCAACATACATTCACCAATTGTACGTTCTCCGGGGGTGGGTTTGGATGGTGAGGCCCATTGGCTATGTTCACCATGTTGTTCCGTTCCGATCTAAGGCTCTGCCGAAGCCGATCATGAAGCTTTTGCCGCTGTTTCCTGGATACGGAAAAAAGGGAGAATTTGTTACTATTACTTGCATTTTTTTTGTTACCACCAAATCTTTATTCTACCAATACTAATGAGCAGTTAGAGGCAGTCAATTGGTGGCAATGAAGGGGGAAGGGAAATATGTGTCTCTCCATCTCAGAATAAGCAATATCACACATCCTCCCTAGAAACCAGGTTTTATTGGTTAGGTGGAATTCTTATAGAAATGTAGCTATTGTATTGAGGAAGAATAAAAAAAAAGGGGGGGAAATGTAAATATGTTGATATTTGGCTAAATTCTCAATGTGCTTGGTATATCTTTGGCTATGTCATACAGACATACATACTTTGAGCTATGGAATCGAAAAGGCTGGTTCCATTTATAAAGTTTCCTATGGGATATCTTAAGAAAATTAATTTAGCTTTCCATTTGTACATTTTACAGTTACTGTGTGTGCATAGTACCTACATGTTAATGGAATTCTGGGTATACTTTGGCATTACATTTTGGTACAATTGAAACAAGACTCTACACTTGCAATGCATTTTGTAGAAGAGGTGGTAATATTCAAATTTGAATATAATAAGGTGCCAATTCCATGAAAGCTTATCTTTATCACCCAGTCCTCAAACCACGCCAAATCATGGGATACTGTGAAAACACAATTTATGCCATAGATTTTGTGGCAAAAAATGCATGTGACCTCTGTTCTCTAGTGCAACATTCAGAACAAGACATTCCTATGACTAATTTTGTCCAGAAAATAGTATGTCATCAGGCAAAAGCAAACAAAACTCTATTAATTGAGCATTACACTTAGATTGAAGAAATCCTAAGTGGAGAAAAATGTGAAGGGAATTCATCAGTCGGCCAGTGTGTGTGCTAACATGGACACCTGTACAAGGCCAAGCATAACTACATTATATTTAAGGTTTCCTCTTGAACTTTTTTCCCAAGCAAATTTGGCTTGCTTATTCTTCAACAAAAATTTTCTATATGCACTGCCCATTTGTAGACCATTTAAGTTGGAAACCTAATAGAATTAAAACATACTCACTTTAACTCTCAACAACTCCCCCAAAAGAAAGCAAAAAAAAAAAAAAAAAAAAAAAAAAAAAAAAAAAAAAAACCCAAACATTTGTATCTTGGATACCATCAAATTCTTCCATTATTTCTTAAGTATCTGGGCCCATTGGACTTATCCTTGACCCTTGGCATTTATGCTCTCAGCAGGTTATGCCTGTGTGGAACACTAATCCTATACAAGCCTGTCCCTCCAAGCCTTTATCCATTCACAGAGGCCTGAGAATCCATTTAGATTCACAGACAGGCAAAGTTCCACAAAATATCTTACTCAGTGGGGAACATAAGGATATAAGTACCTATGCTTCTTTCTTCCCTAGCCTTGGGCCTAGGGCCTGGGACTGCAGAGCCCTGCCTGCCTAACCTACTTCTACACCAAGGGGAGCAGACAGAGTCAGGGGAAGGTTTACTTGGTTTTGCAGTAGGCCACCACACACATGATGCCGACCACCAGGAGGGCGATACAGATGCCAGTAATTGTCAACACTCTCTTCTGGTAGAGCTCCTCCGCTTCTGGAAAGGGGTGAAAACAGACGTCACCAAGGTCATTTACCATCACCAGGACTTAAGACAACTGAACAGTTGGCATGCTTCATGACATTACCCATGTCCACAAGACAACAAATACTTGACAATTCTTTGTTTACATATGTGTCTAAGGGACAAAATAGTCTATGCTGTACTTTGAGCATAAATAACAAGCTAGGGCCATTAGAAGTAAAAAAGCATTTTATGATTCATCTAATTTCAAACTATAATTATATATATGGCAATAAACTAGAAAGTTGTAGACATTCATTACAAAATAATTTATTAAAACTACATCAATATTATTCTTTTTATTAAATATCTTATAAAGCATCTCTTGCAAAGACAACAGGAATCAATACTGATAAAAGGAGCTAAGTTGGGCTTCAGGGAGAAGCTCCATTCTTCCTTCCTCTATTCACCACCCTCCATGCCAATCCTCTTTCCACTTCCCTTATGCTTAATGTCATCACTTCATATCCAGTGGTCTTTACAAAGAGACAGTTCTACATTGAACAAAATTTAATTCAAAGGTATTTGCAAACATGAACTTGGCTTGTAGTTAATAATTTAAGGCAACAGCCCCATGATTTTGAGTAAAAAAACAGTACACTATGGGGGAATAGGACACTGGGTCAGAAAAAACCCAACCTGATAGGTAGGGCACTCTTGGGCCACAGGAAAGGTTTGCTCTTTGGAGGAAAATGGTTATGACTCTCTTAGTTGAAGTTAGAAAACCAATTTGTATTAAGAAGCACATCAGCATAAATGATATATACTTTGGTCTAGATTGCACATTCCCACATTAGACAACTTGACCATTCTAAGGAAATGTGGTACTCTGTGATCTGAACTGAAGGTACTACTCTACTCCAGATGCAGGAAGTCTGTAATTTGTGGAAACTTTTCTAGTTGAAAATAAATGTCTTTGGATGATGACTTAGTTTTATACAAAGGCGAGTCAGGTTGTTAACAAAATTTGCAGACTTACTGGGGATGCTGATTGCTTAGCAGCCAAACATCCAAAAATCCAATTATATTTATTAGACGATCTTAACATGTTCACCTAGCACATATTATAAATGGTTTGTCTGCCATTAAAATTAATAAGCTGGGCAGGAACTTGAGAAGACTGCACAAATAGACTGGCCTTATCTGGATATCAACAAGAAACACACAGAGATTATTCCATCATGTCTTTCGCCTCAGAAGCTATACCTTTCTCTGCACTGAGAGAGAGCATGTCACAGGAAATTTTCTTAAAAATGAGTAAGTGAATTTTAATTTCTATCAAATAGTGGATCTTATCAGGAAAGGAAGTGTTTCCTACAAGCCGAGTCCATGGTAATCAAGTCCCAGTTAACAGGGCAAGAACATTGTCAAATCAAATTAATAGAGCACTGATTATTAAGAGAACAGAAGTCAGTGGGTAAAAGACTAGAACACTGAAGAGATTATACAAAAACAAACAGAAAGGGTTGGAGGTGGAGAGGGAAAACAAACCACAAGGACAGACAGACTGAAAGAATGACACACAGAGAGAAAGTCCAGTATAAAGGAAAAACAAGGTTAAAAGTTAGGGAGCCATCTGGAGTCCCTGGCACAGCATGCCTGATATTAAGGGAGGAAAAATAAACAAAGAAATGAAAACCAGACAGAGGAGATGCTTGGGGGGGGAGGTGGGTGCAGAGTGGGAAGGGGTGTCCCATACAGCATAACTCCTAACGTGGGCTAGCCATGACATGGAAGCCATGATTAGAAAGCGAAGCAGTTGGTTCATTGCGGTGCCACAGTATGCAGGAGACACAGTTGGTGTCATGGAATTTATGTGTTGGTATGTGCACTGCAGAAGTCTAACAATGTCATGAATAGGAGGGCTCATGTGTTAATTGCGAATCTGTTACCCTGAGACAAAAACAGGGGATTGCTTTTTATGATGTACTATCTTTGAGCCAATCAATAACCCTGTAGCTTCCCTCCCAGGCATCCTAAATGGATTTTAGTGTGCATATCTAGGAAGCAAAATCTCATTCCACTGCTCTTCCTTCACAGGGCCCTTTCACATAGCATGAGTTAGGAAATGGAGGATTAACACTGCCATCGAGAAAGAGCAGGCCCTGCATTCCCCTTTTTGTTTAATGTACTTTTTTTTTTTTTTCAAACTGGTGAGGTTTGGCTTGGGTGTGCTCAGAGATAGGACACTTGACTAAGAACATGGGGGATCCTGTGTTTGGTTCCACAAATGGATAAAAGGAAAAGATAGGTTGAACCCCCCCCCCCCAAAAAAGCCTTTGGTTGCTGCTTATCACTGACTCCATAACATGAAACTCCCTGGGATTCCTGTAACAAGTTCTCTTCAGGTTATTGTTGACTAGGAAAAAACAATCTGAGTCACATATGTGACCTAGGCAGTGGCCTATTCTAACTGCTTGTTAGTAAAACAGTTATCTCAAGGACTAGAGTGTTCAGTAAAGGGAGCCAACCAAAGGCATGGAACACAAACATGGCTAAATCCTGTGTTCACATCAGTACTGACTATAAATTTCTTACCTAAACTTCTTGATTTATTTTTCATGATTTTGGTGGATCAGGTTATCTCCACAATCTAAATGTTAAAGGAAAATAAAAACTTTGACAAACAGTATGTTCCTTTAGTATGTTGCTCTTCTCATGTATTTTTTTTAATTACTATTTTTTTTTTTTTGCTTGACAGTATGCATAAGGCAAGAGAAAATCAGAGCTAGTACTAAGCATCAGCCCAAAGGCCTGGCCTGTCTCCATGAGTGGAAATGCTCCAAGTCTCTCTGGTTTGGCTGTATGGACTGCAGTGAGTCATGTCAAATACATTTTTATACTGATGTGTCCAGGAGAAAAGACAGAGCCATTCTTGCTCTCTTGTTTTTAAATGACCCTTAAGGTCAGGTGTTATTTCAGGATATATGGTTCTTATATCTACAAAGCCTTTGAGATGAGTGGATAACAGCACCCTGCCCTTGTGAACCATAAGAACAGCTGAGGGACAGTTACATAGCATAACTACTTGAACTACTTGACTTCACTGTACAGAAACAGAAATAGTCAATTCTATGGTCAGATCAGAAAGCTCTGAGTGAGGAAATTCTACTCATGAAAAAGGTGGTTCTGAGGGTTTGGCCATTGGCTTGCTGTAGTACTGTGAGATTTCTGGCAGAGGGATCCTTCCTTTGAGGAAGGAAGAATCCCCAAGTGTGATGTTTAGAGCTCTTTGTGTTCCCCAAACTTAGGAGATTTTTCTTTTTAATACCAAAAAAGGCCATTCATATAAATTTGGGCATTTTTAAAATCTACAAAATCAATAGTTTCCTTCTCAAATTTTTATTTTCTTAAAGGAATGACAAGCTTCTCTTCCTGTACCTGCCAGGGCTGGCTACCACCTCATGGGCCACCAATTATGTTTCTGAGTAGATTGATGTTGTCAGCCAAAAGGGGACAACAGCCTTGGGATGCCCTTGCTGCACTATGAACCAGCTGCAAAAGGAGCAGACTGTTTGCTAATCACAACATGGTGCTGTTGACCCAAGACCCAGTTCTAGTCCTTCAGACAGCTTTCACAACGAGCCTGGAGACCAGGGACAGTAGCAGTCTCCAGCTCTTTCCAAGACTGGACCCTTACCCCCTTTTTTTTGCGGGGGTTGGGGGAGGGTGAAGGTTCTTGTGGAATGTGCCTACATTTAACCTGCCTTTGGGAGCTTTGTTTGTTTTGATATTTACAGTGTGAAGTTTACTACAATCTTAATCTTAGTGTTTCTGGTTTAAATCCATCAGCCCTGGAATGTCCACATAAAATAACATTGTCTGTTTTCTATTTACTTGCTTTTAAGCAAATGAAGTTAACTAGAGTTGTACTTGAGTATCTCCAAGCCTGAATCAGTGCACATAAGATGACTGCAATATGAGACGATTCTATGCCACAATGTTAAACAGGTGAATTTTATGTTATATGTGAAACTCCCATCGGGCTATCTTTTATGTAGATGTACTTAGCACTTTTTTTTTCCCTGTGGCCTTTGGTTTGATTTCTCCTGTAGCCTATGCACCACTCCAACTTCCCCCAGCTTTTAAGTAACAGCATGGTCCAATCAATGGGTCACACAATGTGGGGGTCTATGATAAGTTGCAGCAGGAGGGACACCGTTAATCTTTAAGTGAAGGTAGGCTTGGAAATTTAAAAACTGCTGCACTCCATTAACATTTCCATAAACTCATCATAGATTGGAAGCAGAGAAACCAGTGTTATAGCTGTATGATCCCTTCTAAAGAAAAAGGAAATTAGTTAGGAACTGAAAAGCAAGAGGAGGAAGGGCAAAAGAGGTCAGCGCAGAGGCTCTACATTCTGCAGGCTAAAAGGAATGATGATTGGTCCATACCCATAAATTCAATCCCAAGATGCTCTGCCAATGCAGAAAGTTGACAACAAAAAAAAAAAAAGAAAAAAAAGAAAGGAAAAAAGTTTCAGAAAAGAGCAATACACCGCACTCCAAAACAAATTACACATGACTATGACAGCTGTCTGTGCGTGCACACTGAACAGGACAGGCGGTGAGTGTTACAGAAGCATGCTCAGGAATGCCCGAGCCCACCAGCGAGGCATGAAAACACAGGGTCTTTAGTAACCTTTAAAAGCTTCTGCCGAGGGAGGTTAGCAGCTGAATCATGCTTGACTCATCATTTGCGAACAGAAGTATTTTATAACCAGAAAAGGCATTTGCAATAAGTTGATTTGATTTTAAATGAAGTTCTAAGTCTTTGTTTTGTTTTAACTAAATGCATCCAGCGGCAGAGACAGGAGTAGAAGCCAAGAAGACAGTAATTTGATTTGAAATTTGTATCACATTGGTTTTACTTTTCCTTGCTGGTGGGTAGTTATAATTCAGTATCATTTTGTATAAAAGTTGTACCTCCATCACTTAACTGTCCAATTCCTTTACTACACACATTGTCCATTTCATTCACAGAAAGCAATGAAAGCTTCTATGCAGAAATATGAGAAAGGGAAGCTGGGTTACTGGTGACTGTTTCCAGTTTTTTATATAATTTCTGGGTAGTATTGGACAACTCAAAATGTCACATTTTTTAAGTTGAAAAGAAAAAAAATGATTTTTTAAATGTGTTATATGAAGATCCAGTTTCTGGGGTCTTTACAACTTTTTCAAAGTATTTGTTAGAGGTGACTAGATCAGCTCTCCACAGTGCTGAGCTCCATAGGGGACAGGTGCCCAAAGAACCTCAGCACCACCCAGGGAAGGGGACTGAACAATGTGAGCAGATGCGTAGTCCTTCTGCAACTCTGTTCAAAGACTGCACAGGTGAAAATGCAGCAACGAGGGGTAGGGAGAGAGACAAAGAAAAAAAATTCCAGGAAAGATACTGTGCCTTCTTGCAACAAAAGTTGACAGTCAAGTTTCCTCAAGCATAGAGGCCTTCTCTCTCCAGGAATATAACGTAGTGAGGATGAAGGTAAGTTAGAAGGAAGGGCCAGAGATCTCTATTTCCTTCTCTTAACAGTTTAGGGAGATACCAGGGCAATCCACTAATACAAGGAGGCAGCTTTTCAGCTTGCACTATATGCTGGAGGGAGGTGGCTCTTATAAAAAACATCTGTCAGGGCATGGAGAAGGCAGCCCTTAAAGACACAAGGTGAGTGTGAAGTCGATCCTGGTTCAGATCCTGTCTCTCCCACTCACCCGTTTAGTAACTTTGGTCAGCTTTATCTCTTACTGAACAAATTCTTGATATGTATGCTCATTGGTAACTCTATGGAGCGAACTATGGTCTGCAACAGCAGGGGGCTCAGTATTGTGGGAACCAGACACATCTACAGATGTATTGAGACAGTCAGTGTAATGCATTTATGGTTACTTTGAGTAACTGTATGAAGGAAAACACTGAATGCTCTTAGGATCTATCAAAAAAATAGATGAAGTTTTTTTAAGTCTCTTCAAGAAATGATGCTCACCCCACTCCCCCAAAAAATACATCTTGAAAATGGGAGGGATGATTTATAATGACTTCTGGTGTGGGTTCAGTATACCCCCACAAGTCATCTGAATTTTTCATAAATTGAGAACCAGAAGTCTTAGGGTTAATTCAGTTGTACAAGATATCCATAATAAAATACTCTGTTCAATAAAATGAATTTCTCTTGCCTCTGTGCCATTTGTCAGACTGACATTTTTCTCATTTGTTTTTTCATATAAACTTTGAAGCACCAATGTGGAAAAAATTTAGTTTCTAAGGAAATTGATAATAACCTTCCTTCCTCATTTCTTTCATGAGGCTATGATCGAATTTTCTTTCTAGAAGCTTCAGTGTCTCTTGCCTTTTCCTACTATAAGTCACTAATAATTTAAGGGTTAAAATCAAGACATATCTATAAAAAAAGTCCTTTCCAAAGAATTATTCCATGCCTATGTGAACACTTCTAATGATTTGTATTAGTTGCATAGAAAGCTTGGTTAAGTCTTCAATAAAATTAGTATCATGCCCATGCATACATATTACTGCATTTACAGTTTTATAGGTAAGACAGTGAGCCTAACTATAATTTCATTTCAAGGGAAGTCATTCATATCAGGCAGCTCCAATTTTAAATAATTCAATGGGAAATTGGTACTTAAAACGGGAATCTCTTTTGCTGTGAGCTCTAACAAGAAAACAAGCGGACGATGCATGCATCAGTCATTCTTGACCCAGAACAAAGACACTCTCATTTATTTTCACTGCTGGTGGCTCCATCTCTTTCACTTTACATCCAACAAAAGAAGCAGAATATGCAAACTTTCCATTATGTAAAGAAATTCTTTCTGTCTGCTCTATTTAATCTAATGCTTGTGTTAGCTCATTATGTAGCACATGATTCTATTGAACTTCTGGCTAGCCACTACATTCTTCAAATTCAATTAATAATTCACAAACACAAAGGTTACTGTAAACAATCAAGTTTCCTTTTCTACATGTGATTTCCTGCCAGGACCATGGCAATATAAAAAAATTAATTTAAATCTAAGAGTCTCTAGAAACTATTAAATATTGACTCACTGATCCTTTGTGCTAGGATTTTATAATTACTTGACAAAAACTGATTAACCTGGAGGTTAATTTAAATTTTCAACTGCATTAGAGAGAAGAACAATAAAATAACTGTCTTCTGTCAAAATTATATAACCATTGCAATTATGGTTTCTGTTCAAATTTCTAGGCATTCAGGGTGTTATTTTTAACATCTTTGGAACTGTTTATTCAAATAATCTCAAAGACATGCAGTCTTGATTTTCTGTATCTCTGGAGCTTTTCTAATTGGTTCTACTAATGCCAGTTCTAAATGGGATGAATTTAGTGTCTTGACTTTAATTTCAGACTTACCTGTATAAATGTAGATATTTTTTCTCACAATCTGCATTGTTACTGAGCCTTTGAAATGTAATAGACTTTTGGCTTACTCCCCAATTTTCATGTGTTTCTTTTACACACACACACACACACACACACACACACACACACACACACACAAAGCAAATTTCACACTTGTTTGAAATTTATGACAATTCTGTCATGTGTGGAGTATTCTTTATTCTACTGTTAGCAAGATACATGTTATAAATGCTTGATAAGTACATTATCTTAACAGGTTATTGAAAACATCTAGAAATCAATGAAATAATGTATGTGCTAATAACCTGTGACTCAAAGGTAATTTTAAGATTGAGAAGTTTACTCATTTTGAGAATGGACCTCAAGTTCTAAATGTTCCCTTCAAAACAATGTATAATGTGAGCTGTTCTATATTTAGTTCCTATGGTTTGCCAGCTTCTCCAGGACATACATGCCCTATGCCACCTCTAGGTACTGGAACTGTGAATGTATTTTCCTTTCGGGCTCCCTACATACAGGCCAGCACATGCTAGTGATCACAGTGTTACAACCTTAGTAGCTAGAAATGGCAGTGTAATAGGTCAGATTTAAGGCTCACTAAAGTGGATGAAAATATCTTAGGGAATACTATGTTATATTTCAAGACAGGTTATATATATATATATATCACCATCTCTTTCATAATTTAAACCATAAGTCAATCATTAGGATATGGTGAACAGAATGACTATATCTAATTTTAGTAATATCAGTTACATGTTAAACAGCTTGAAGAATTGTATATTCTCTTTGGAATGTTATTCTTCAATTGAGAATATGGCTTACTAAGTATAAATGTTCGTTTGAGGCAGGAGACTATCTTCTCTTTAAAGACTGTGCTATGTTCTTCAGGATAGTGTTTCTATAAATACACAATTACATTTTCAAGTGACCTCGGTGGGAATATCTTTTAGATTTTCTTTCAGTATTCACTGTTATTTGAACATGTAGTAATAAAAATCATTCCCTTGTCTTCCTATCTTCTGTAGGAGGACACAAACTGAGAACTTCAGATGCAGAGGTTAGAAAATGAACTCTGGACAAGATGATTTGGGAAAAAAATGTCTGATTGGAAATGCTTGCTCATCCAGACATGTGGCATCAATAATGCACCATAACATACTGGCCTGCCTATCTGTCCTTGTTAAATCAAGTTAAACACTAATGCTAATTTCCTGCATGCCTTCCCACAGTGCCACTGAAATCTTACTAAAAATCTTACCTCAGGAGCCTCTTTCTACTCTTCAGACAGAGTGGATATTTTTAAATAATGTCAAATAAAAGAAAAAATGACTAAAAAGTGTATGAGAACATACTTGGTGGTTACCAATGACAGAATTAACAGAGTTATTGTTCTGAGAAATATTTAAATTTTTAATGATTGACTTTATCTAGTGAGCCAAACTTCCCCTCGATGTGTAACATCTCTAGCTGTCTGACACCTTACCTAAGAATAGCTTACCCCTTTTCATTAAATTCTAAAACCTAGATTTATACCTATATTATCATGTGGATTTACTAAATCTATGCTCTTTGAATACAAACAAACAATTCAAAGAGTCTCGTTATTGCACTAAATAAAATTCTATTTTCCCTTCTATTTTTACTTTCTATCCTATCAGCTTCAAAAATCTATAGCTATGGAGAGAAAATTCATGTCTGATAAATGCTATTATTTAAAATTTAACAGTGCCAGCCTCCCAGTTTTTACAAGGGAAAAATTATAGCTTATCAAATAATCTTTGCTAACATAAAGTAGCATCTTATTAAATATATGGCTACTATTCTGAAAACATCTAAAGGTTTCACTGTGTAGCTCTGGCTGCCCTCTAATACACAGAGCTCGACCTGGCTCTGCCTCCTAAGTGCTGATATCTGTGACTAGTAACAGAGCTTTATTTTTCTTGTGAATCAGAACCCAGGGCAAATCTCTGATTCTTTCAACATCTAAATGATTTATGTGATTATTTTTAAGCTTTTAAGAATTTAAACTCATTCGAGATATGTAAATACTTTCGATGATTACTAATTGATAGGTTTGAGAAAAGCAGCCTGGTGCTGACATCTGTAAATAAAGACTGAGTGGAATACAGGCTGGCCCATTGGTTTATTCATTATCTATGACTATCTTCAAGCTACCAGGGTTGGTGGGGCCTGGGGGATGGATGGTTAGTTGTGACACCATCACCATAAACCTTAAAACACTTAATATCTGAACCTTCATAGTAAAACTTTACCAACTCATGATCTAAATGGTTAAGTGGGATATAAGCAAATATGGCGTTCTGAAGGTTTCAGAGCCCAAGAGATGCTATCCCAGTTCACAGGAGATGAAAATATATCTAGTCTGGTTCCCCAGGCAATTATTTACAGTGTGGAGTAAGTAGTCTAGAAATGACATTTTAAACATCATGACCTCACAGACATCCACTAAGCTTGCCAGCTCTGCAATAAGCATTTACATATTTATTCTAGATTTAAGTTATTATATTTTGAAATAATAGTTTTCAAAATAGTAATAGCTACTTTCTAAGATTACCTTTTAAGACAACATAAATACTCATATTAAGAAACTCTGGGGTAGTGGTGATTATCTAAACTGATTCTGAGTTACTTATATCCCAAGAAAGATAAATATAAGCCTACATATTTCCTTGGCTGGGAAATATTTGTTTTAAACTTTTCTACCTAGTATTGTTTTGTTTGTCTGTCTGCATGCCTGAATGTGAATTTTTGCTAATGAAGAAAAACATCTGAACTTTTTTGGTGATGTTTATTTGTTATGAATAACACACTCTGAGCCAAAATTAACTTACCATCGTTTCAAGGGCATGTTGGTTACAACCTAACAACAGCCTTTTCAGGCTTCAGACGTTGGATACAGAAGAGGGACTGTTGGGTGCAATGGTTTTATTTTTATCAATACAAGTGCGAGTTTGAAATGTCTTTATTATTATTTCACTCCTTGATGTGAACTATCAGTTGGCATCACATTATGCATTATCAAATTCAGAAACATCTGGAGCCTCACACACCTATTAGTAACTCAGAGTTGTAACTAGTCACAAACAGAGGAGGTAACACAATGGCTTTGTTAATAACGTTCTCATGCGACAGGCAGAGGCAGTCAATATTAGACCTGGTAGAACACTCTAGCTCTAGGTGACTCTGAGGGGAGATGTAGCAACAAGAAAGCAGCACCGACTGAGCATGCTCCTATTCAGGCAGAGACAGAAAGGGAGTGGACGTACTGTAGAAGCTGGCCATTACGTAGTTTTGGCAACGATCACCAGTAAACTCATTTGGGCACCTGAGAGAAGAAACAAAAAACAATGGTAGAAAAAACAGAGAAAAAGAGAAGAGGTGAATATATGCTAGAGAAGCTCCGTGAGTGTCATTGACTGAACTTGATGAGTTCACCCTCAGGAACCGAATCCTTGTCCTAATCATGGCTCTCATACTCTGGCATCTCCCCAGTGCTTCAAATTCAGTTTGCAGCCTTATAGGACAGTGAGATTCCAGGATTTCTAGGTGACTGCTTTCTTTCCAAAGAAGTCACAAAACAGATGTGATGTTTTTAGTCATCTTGTCAAAGAAATAGTTAGGAAATGTTTTTGAGTTGGGTTCACTCTGGCCATTCTTTCCCATTTTAACTTTCAGACCTAAGTGAAAGGTAACTGAGACCACAGTGGATGGGTTTATGCCCCGAGCAGAGACACCATAATTTGAACAAAAGTCATCAGTTCAACTGAGCTGTAAAAGCACCAAGTGGTTGCGATTGTTGCTGTAGTTTGGTGGAGAGAGCAGATTTCAGATTATTGGAACATACTTTCTTGGGTTTGGACTTTCATGGGCACATTCTCAGTACATCTGGCTCCAGTGAATCCAGGTTGGCACCTAGAGGGCAAAAATGTGATGAGCAATCGAACGCTCAAGACAGTGAACTTTCAGCCTGGTAACCTTCCTCCCATGGAATATGGAGTCCTAAAGATGACCCGGTGCTGAACAACACAGAAAGGAAAAGGCATGATACTGAGAAACCCAGTCCCACCAAACTGCAGCTTACTGATTTTGTTGTTTACTTCAGTCATCAGAAGACTAGATATGGAAATATAACTAGAGAGAGGCTGTGAGTTGAATGGGGTGGCAAGGCAGGGGCTCAGGGCTCTCAGCCTGCATCACCCTGAGTGGCAGTCTCACCGTGATAAAACACTTGTGTTGACATGAGCTTTTGGGACTCCACTTACTTCTCTTGCTATCAAAAGACTCTGAGCCTTTTATTTTAATGTACATTCCCTGAGATTTCTACTCATTTCATAGCTGCTTTCTGAACTGTAAGTTGAAACATTTAAACAAAATAAGTCAAATACTGTTATTCTCTAGTGGTTAGAAATGAGAGAACGACAATCCCTATCTCCTTTTCCTCCCTAAGATATTATAAGTTTAGTCTTATTTTTAATATCATTGAGACAAATAGAGTGGAATTTTATTGGTACAATTTCATTCATCCAGTTACCTCCAATAAAAGAAAAATACATTTTTGAAATTAAAAGTTATTCTTATACAGAAGCACACATGACATGCCACTGTTACATTTTTTATGGCCAAATGTTCTGAACTAATGTAAAAAGTTATATTTTATTTGTTCATATCAATTTACTTGTCAAAATGCCAGATTCTGATAAAACTTTGTTCCTATGTTCATACAACAGGGCCATGCTTAGACATGAAACCCTTTATGGTTCCATGTTGCTTTAATCTAGTATCTAAAGCAGTTTAGAATGAGTTTGATTTATCAATTATCATGACCTAATAAGCAGTATTGAAGAGTTCTGGAAGGCAAATAGACTTAGAGTTAAAAAATTGTAATTGAGCGCTCAGCATATATATCCATATAGTTCATCACAGCTGTCACAAAACTATACCCACCTAACATAATTTGCTCTGCTAGTACTGACCTAGTGATTTTTATATAAGTCTCTTGTATCTAGAGTAAATAAGACCAAACACTACCATTTTGATATAAAATACGTTATTAAATGTACTAGTTCTACTAACAGAAGAGTGATTTCTTTACCTTTCAGGCTAAACTCAATAGGAAAAAGAAATGCTATCAAATAGTTTGGTACATGAAATTCTCTCAATGCATGAAGGTACAAAAATACTTGCAGTACCAGAATTCTTATCACATGACTACTTGTACAGTGTATCTGTGTTCATTAACAATAACAATAATAGGGCCAGAGAGATGGGTCTGTACTTAAGAGTGCATGCTATTCATGCATAGGACCCAATTGCAGCTCTCAGCAGCTGCATCCAACAATTTAACAACTACCTGTAGGTCCAGCTCTGGAGAATCTGATGCCCTCTTCCGGCCTCCATGGGCAATTGCACTCATGTGCACATATTCCTCACCACACATATACATAATTATAAAAATAAATCTTTAAAAAAGAATGTCAGCAAGTATATATAATAATATATCAAGATGATGCCACTAAAGTGACAAATCACTTCTGAAGAAAATAAATAATACTATCAGACATTTCTGTACTTGATTCTAGAATTACAGATATGTTCCACACTGACCATTTATTTCATTCTGCCTGTTTGCTTTTTTGATAAAAATTAAAATTCTCATATTGAGCACACCATTTTTTCTATAATTAATATGGTACAATATGAATTCTGTGAGTGTGTATGTGTGTGTGTGTGTGTGAGAGAGAGAGAGAGAAAGAGAGACAGAGACAAACAGACAGATGGAGGTTGGAGAAGAAAGATCCATCTAATGTAGGAACAGATCTTGCTGCTTATAGTTAAAGATTATTAAATGAATAAATAGATAAGGAATCAAGAGTTTCTTAAGAGAAGGAGGAAATTTATTAGGAAATTATGATTTAGGCATCTTATATGTCAGGCCTGTGATTAAAGGGCATGTGTCTACCATACAAATGGGGCAAAAATAATCTTCCCTATCCATTTTCTAATTACTATGAACTTTTTGTGCATCCTGAGAGGTTATCATTATCAGATCTTGCATTATCTCTGGTCATATAGAATATTTGGTCCAGTAACACATAACATAATGACCTTTGTTCTAAATATAGCTAGCTATTCTTAATAGAATGAAAATTCAGTTTTTATTTGTGCATCCCTCTTCCAATTTAACATCACCTGACTCCATCCTTTTTTTAACGAAGGACTCTTTCCCTGGTTCTTTCATTTTGGCTTGTCCCATCCCTGGTCCAGACCTAGTCCAAACTGTGCTTTCTGTGTTGTGATGGATGTGAATGGTGCTCATTTCAAATCGCTTTGTGTCTCTATTGCCTGACCCAGAACCTGGATACTCTCTTATTCTAACTGCAGCTTTTGATAAAGAATTTTTTTTTGATAAAGAATTTTTGTACACCAAAAACTTTCACAAGGAAACTTACTTGTCAAAACAAGCTAATCTTAACATCTACTTTTATTTCTATAGTTTACAATAGAATTTCCTCTGTGGATTTCCAATTAAATTTTAGTAGGAATTACCAGTACCTGGGGATTTCCTTCCCCATGTTAAAAAAAAAAAACCTTTAACACTGTGCTCGAAATGTTAAAGAGAAAGGGCTATGATTATTTAAGAGAAAGCCTATTACCTAATTAAGTTTTGTTATTTAAACACCAGTTTACCTAGGATTCAATAAAGCAGAACTGTTTTCTAACCAAGACTTTTATCTAACAGCAGTAACAAAAATACTACAATTTTTTACAATACTACAGAAAGATCTGGTTCTATAGGATTGGCCAATTTTATAAATTACTTATCAATTACAGTCAACTTGTAAACCATCTTTAGACATCTTCCTTCCTTTGTTTCCTGGTTTCATCTTTGTCCCCTGAGAACACTAGAAGGAAGAAAGCCAACAGCCAGTGTGTTCCCTCTTTAGTCATCATTCCACACTGAAATGTTTGGTCAGTCTTTAAAATGCCCTGCTAGAAAGAATATCATATCTTTCTGTTCTTCTTCAATACTAACTGTGGCATTTCCTTGACTGTAAAACACATGAATTTACCTACTAGGTGTTGATATTTACAAATATTAAGTCATGGCAATGTCAACAAACTCATTCTGGGGAATACTGGCTGGTTTGTGCTTGATGTTAAAGCCTCCCGAAGTCACTCTGGAAGCCTTAGTTGCCCGCGGTTTCAGCTCTCAGACTGCTGGGCTGATTTTCTACAGTATCACATTGCAAACACAGACTTTTCTCACCCCGTAGCTGGCTTGTTATTCTGGCCAGAGCTCGCCTACTCACTGGCTGAGTGTCTGCATTGTAGATTATTTTTTCCCAAATGCATTGTTACTATTAGTCTACATTTTTCTAAGATGAATCTTATTCTGTTATCAGCCTTAAAGGGAAATTACTTGAGGCTTATATATGTTTTTCTAATTTGTACCTTAGTGTTCTTTGCAGTGCCATCTGCAAAAGCCATTTATTTACTCAAGAGAATGCCCTCCTTAACATCATTAAAGAAAATACTAAATAGAAAATGTTTCAATAATGTTTCTTTCAGATCTAGCATATACCTTCCATCACTGCTCAGCTGGTATGGGTCTTCCCCTTCTCTTATTATGACCCTGGGACTAGCTTCCAATCCATGAGATAACAAGAGTACATATAGTGATCTCATAGGGCTCATGAGTAAATACTAAGAAAAAACACACACGTGCACATAAAACTCCTATATTGCCCTGGCTCTCAAATATGTTTTCCTACTAACAGTGGGTATGGCAGTGCTTAGGAACACATCTTTCCATAGACTGAGCTTAGGTCTGACCTAAGGCTCTGTTTGTATAGCTTCTAGTGAAATGCTCACCTAGAGACTAAAACCCTCGCCTGTGTTTATCCAACATGATGCATCCTTAAGTCAAGGCAAACAACTTCAATAGGTATGGGATCAATGTACCCTGTGCTAGAGTGACACATGACATACTGGCTGCTCATCTGTAGTCTTTCTTTCTCTCAGGGGGGATACCCTTACTTCAGATTAGAGGGCCTGAGGCACTTTCTCATTTTCTCTATGCTAACAGACTTGTTTTATAATGAGGTTTCTTTTAAATTATTCAATGCCAATATTTTTAAAACGGTGCATTTTATTTAACATAAGGTGATGGCTTCATATTTTCTCTCCCTTCTACAAAGCCTTTGTCTTTGATTCCTTAAGATCATCGATAAACATACCCTTAGCTCCCTAAAAGTCATCATGACACTCAGTATATCAATAATTGATTATTAAATTGATTGTTTGAGATATGGGTATTATTTTCAA